CCTCCTCCCTCAGGCCAGCCCAGGAACCTCCTTCCCGAAGCACCATCAGAAAGGCCTCAGATGCTCCAGCCGACCCCTGGGGAGCCGGCTGTTTTGCTCAGGCTCCCCTGGGACGATCCTGGCCCAAGGGAGCACGGCTAGTCTGGGGCTCGGTTGGCAGCTTACCAAGGTTTCCCATCTTTTGGAAGCCGCAAGCCTCTTTTGTCCAAATAGCCACGTTAGAGGGAAAAGCTGAGCATAAGAAATGTCACTGGGTTTCAGGAGACAGAAGCAGAGACCCAGAGACGGTTGATAAGCGGTGGACGAGCTGCAGGTAATGGAGGAGCAGGCCTTGCGAGTTATCCCAGTGCCGGTCCCTCAGGACCCCCCAGTGGCAGGACCTTCCTAATGACATAGGGCACATCACGGTTGAGAAGACAAGCGTGTGGACTGTGAACTGGCCTGGGCACCTAAGGCTCCTCCCCCACCCCTGTCCTGGAGTGTGGGCTCCGCTGGCCTTCCCCTGCTCCCGGCCGCTGCTCCGGGACACACCTTTGAGATGGCGAGGTGTGGACAGCGTCTGCCCGTGTGACGGAGTCGCGGAAGGCCTCTATACACTTTTAAGATCTGGTGCACAGGTGCAGGGAGCCATCCGTCCCACTGGTGCCCAAGACCAGCCTCGTACCGAGTTCCCTTGTTTATTAAAGCTGCTGCCTCCTGCCCCTTTGTCTCTCCGCCCTCCGCATTCGGGGACAGTTTCAGATTTCTCCAGGGAGGCTGGCCAACAATCACCACCTGGGAGTGTGTTTATTCTGTCATTTTATCCCACGTGTGATTCCTGTGACCTCCCTGCAATCAAGATGTGGAGTGTTCTGCTGCACAGAGACCCCTCCTGCGGCCCCGGCCCCTGCTGGCCATCCCTGCCTTTCCTAACCCCTGGCAACCAGTGTTGCCTGTTTTCCACCTCCATAATTCTGTCATTTCAAGAATGACAGGTAAGTGGAATCACACAGCATACTGGATTGGATTTCCCCCCCAGCAAATGGCCATGAGATCCAGCTAGATTGCATTAAACTTATACACAGGTTATTCCAAAGCGTCTCTAACTTTTTCAACACTGGACGTAAGTTAGCAGGATGTCACCTTCCAAGACCAAGTCTGAGAAGTTTCGTCTTGTGGACAATGATTCAGCGGCAAAGCCGACCCTCTCCCGGGATGAGTTCTCTCCTGCCTTACAAACATAAAATGTGTCCTGAGTCCTTTTCAACGCCACAAATATTTGTGCACAATGACTTATTGACTCTCCCCGTCTTTCTCATACTGAATTTGAAATCTCTCCGGGGTAGAAAGGTGTTCATGCAGGGACACAGCCAGCCCAGCGGGCCAAGGCCGTGCCCCTGCTCTGAGATCTCTGCAGGACACTGGCGGGATCCACACCCTGACCGTGCTGGGTTTTTATGGGCACCAGCCCATGTCTCGTGCTGTGCTGCTCTCTGTCACCTGCAGGGAGTCTTCCCCACATGACTGCTGAGTGAGATTTTGCATTTCTGTGGCCCTTAAGGCAGTAAATATATTTATTGTTTAAGTCTAGAGACTTTTCTTTAACTTGATGGGCTCCTTAGGAGAAGTCCTTCTATTACCCACCTGACCTGCTAAAATCTTGCATTCTTTCATATTCTCAGCACTGTCTAGCTCACGGGGTTATTTAAAATGTTCCAAGAACATCTCTCTTTTCTGGGCCACAGGGGGCTACTGCCCACCAGAATTTTCACCTAATGCAGACTTTTCCTCAGTGTTCGCTGGTGCCCTCATGCTGTAATAGCTGCACAGGTCTTGCCGGGCTTCCCCTGCCCTAGGAGGGGCCGGCAACCCTCTGCCTGCCTTACACAAGAGGGAGTGGCACTGGGCTGGGGGGGGCAGGTGTGCACCCCCTTCCCCCCAAAGTTGCTTGGCAACCAGGACACCAGCTGGAGAGAATACTGCCCTCAGTGCCTGAATGAGGGAGAGGACAGGAGACACTTGTACAACAAAGCCACATGGGGGACAAGAGACAGTCACCCAGGTCCACAGCCAGAAAGCAGGGGGTGAGATGTAGAAGTAAATTGTTCTCTCCCAGGGGTCAGGCTCCCAAGGGATGCCCAGGAAGCCTGCGGAGGAAGGCTTGAGCTGGGAGGGAGGTGAGGTCTGGCAGGGGCTGAATTTAGGAGATGAGCTGAGGGGCACAGGGGCAGAGAAATGGTCAGCCCTGAGCTCTGTCCTGCCACTGAGCAAAGGGAGAGCCTGTGGGAACTGGGAGTGGTGGAGGAGGGGTGGACTGAGTGATGGGGACTCCTTCGGGTGAGGAACCAGCTGGCTGGCTGGGAGTCAGCTTGGTTTATAGCCCAGACCCCGCCAGGGTCCCTATGGTCAGTTCCTGCCCTCAGAGCCCTAAGCCTTAGGTGGATCCCAGGTATAGCTTCTGCATGGGACCTCTCCCCCGCATACCTCCACCAGCTTCCTGGGGCCGTGGGCCTAAAGAGGTCCAGGCCGTCAGTGGGTCTGACCTTGCCCTCTAGCTCGGAACCAATCAGGACCAGAATGGACAGAAAGCCTTTCTGGAAGCCTAGTAGGACCAGCCCACATTCATCTTCCCACAGCAGCCTCTCTGGCCCCATCGGCCCCTGGAGCTCTCACGGCAAGTCTGTCCCCGGAACACTGGCCTGCACACCTGACAGCTAAGCCTGTAGCACATCAACTCCTGCCACAGAGGCCCCCAAGGGGCAACCTGGGTGGCACCCCCACCTCCAATTAAAGAGGCTTGGAGAATGCTGTCCCCCAAGAAAGATACACAAACAGGACTCCCTCCTGTTCTCAATACTCTTGCTTGGAAATACCCTTATGCTGCAAGGCTGGCACTCTATTTTCACTGAAAACTCTGGACATTCAGGCTTGGGAAGGATGTCCTGAGGTGCATTCAGAAGGGAAGAGAACCCCCAGGACGCAGGCACGGAGGCCAGCTGGGAATGAGGTTGCGTGGATGTACCAGAGCCGGGAACCCGGGGTGCCAGAGTCCCGTGGCACCCGTGCCCCAGTACACTTGCAACTCCTAACCCTAACCCACACTCACCTCTCACTCAGACACCCCCAGGGAGGCTGACAGGCTCCAAACCCTTTAGCACACAAGAGGCGCTATTTACTGAAAAGCTGTGAGAGTGCAGGATGCACACAACTGTTCTTTTTTCCAGGGGCAGCTTCAGAAGCAGAGCCTGAGGCCACACTTGTGGAAATTCCATGGGCCACGGTGTCACCCTGTTGGGACAAAGCGAACCTAGCACACTAGACGGGTCAGTCACCTCCATAGATCCCACGGACTTTGGAACTAATTGTGGGGAGCAGTCACAGCCCCCTCCCCATCCGTTAGCCCTCATACCTGAGGGTAGTTTAGCGGGAAGAGTAACCAGTTTGACTGGCCCCACCGGCTCAGAGAAACTCCAGGTCACACCTGTTTCTTTTCCGTCTATTTCTCCCAACTAAGTACTAACCAGGCCCAATGCTGCTCCGCTTCCAAGATCCCAGAGATCGGGCGCGTTCAGGGTGGTATGGCCGTAGACTCTTTTCTGTGTGTTCCTATCCGTAGGGAAGTGGAACTGCACGCGAGGCCGGGGCGCCTCCTTGTGCCTGTGCTGGGCAACGGGCGCCCTTCCTGGTTCAGGCCGAGGTAGATCTCCCCGGTTCACTTACAGGCCCTTGAGGAAAACCAGCCCCAGCCCAATGGAAAAGCAGCCACTCTTTATTCACGATGACATCCCCTTTGTCCTTTCCTGTCTGCTGTGCTCTGTGGGGCCAACCCCAACATCAGGAACCTATAACCATGCTGGATGTACAAAGGGGAGCAGTTAGTCTTACTCTGTTTTCTCCTGGAAGCTCCCTGCCACACCTGTTCCCCAGGGTCCAGCTCTGCATGCCCGGGGGGGGAGAGGGCGGGCTTGAAAGGCCAGCCTTGGTGTGGACCAAGCACCAAGATATCCCATTTAATTCTGGCCCCACCCTGTGAGAAAGGCTCTGCATCACCCATAAAAGCTGACCAAGGTCTCCAAAGCGGCAAAACTGGTCTGCAAGGTAAGCTAAGAACAAAGCTTCCTTCCTAGGGCTTCACCTCAAGAAGTCCACAAAGAGCAAACATTTCAAAGGCCTGGTCTCTCCCCAGCTCTTCACTGGGGCCAAGTGCTGGCCTCTCGTCCAGACAGCCAGGACGCAGGGGTCGGAAAGGTCTTGAGGGGGCACCCCAGACCCGAGGTAAGAAGTGTCGATTTTACAGAGGACTTATTAGGAGACACGTCTTTGCTTCCCAAAGGAGTTTTTGCTTTTCAGTGGGTTAGTCGGCTTACTCTCCAGACAAATCATAAAATGGCATTGTCCTTTGCGGATGTTCCTGTCACGTAACCTTGTCATGTGTGTAAGGTCACACCTGTTCTCATTTTCTCTCGTAAAACCGAAAGGTAACCCTAAAATCAGCCACACATTGGAGCTCTCTATCCCCCGCCTAAAACCAACAGTATTTGACAAACGTCGTCGCCTTGGGGACGGACGTGCGGTCTTCATTTCCAGACAGTCTCCGCTAGAGCGGACGTGGGCCGAAGCCCCAGTGATCTCGGACTTCCTCAGGGGTAACGCGCCGACGCTGACTCCCCGCACCCGTACCGGCTGACGCCAAGCCGCGGAAAACACTGCCTTTCTTGCGCCGCCACCTGCTGGCCTGCATCCCTGAGCTTCCCGGTCTCCCGGCAACGCCAAAGATGGCCGGCGCGCGAGGACTCCTGGGGAGTGTAGTTCTTCCCTCCTTCCCACCTCTGTCCACGGTCAGCTACTAGGGCCGAGGCGCCCTAGACTACACTTCGTAGGTTGCTCCGCGCGCACCTCCCACCAGCCTCGCGAGAACCCTGTGCCGAAACCCATCTGGAGAGCGGGAACTCTCGCGAGGACCGCCGGTAGTTGTAGTTTAAGGCTGAAACGACTACAGAGGAGTCTACGAGGCTGAGGAGAGCCTACGAAGGCTGAGAGACTACAAGTCCCAGGGGGCGAGGCGCGCCCGCCTGGAGGGCGGGGGGTACGAAAGAGGAACGCGAAGGGCGCTGGGGTGAGTGATGGGCCGGGGGCGGGCGCGCGGTCTGAAGGGCCGGGGGCGGACTGGGGGCGGACCGGGGGCGGAGGCAGGGGCGCTGGGGGCGGCCTTGGGGCGCGGACACCCGGTCCAGATGGTCTTCCGCGCGGTGCGGGGCGCGGAGCCCAGACAAAGGTCCGGGGGGACCCGGTTCCTCTCGGACTACCGAACCTCCAGCGGAGTCGTCATCTGAGAGAGGCCGTGGGTAGCTGGACTTAGGACCCCTCCCCAGCCCCCGAAGCCGCGGAGCCCCAGGAGGTCTCGCCCCCAGGACCGAACACAGGCGGGGTGGGGGTGGGGGGGAGTGGAAGGCCGCCGGCTGTTCCAGAAGCCCTCTCCACGCTGGCGCTCTCCCTGGAGTTAGCTGGATCGATTAGTCCGTTTATCGCCACGAAACTGTCAAGGCTGAGTCGTAATGCTGGTTTTCAAGGAGTGTGTTGTCACCGTAACAGTTTGATCTATTAGTCCCAGTGTAACTTAAGAGCAGGTCACTTGGGTACATTTGGATACAGCATTTCAAGGGTTTGAAAGAATAGCATTTTGGCAAATGCAACTTCTCCGCCCAAAAACCTGTTTTCTGTCGATTCTTAACGGTTTTTGTTTCGTTGAATTTGAAGGTTTCCACCTTGGCTCCGTTTTTGGTTTTGTGTTTTTCTGAGTATCACTACATTATACGAAGGGTGCTGACCTAGGTCTTCATCTTTCTCATGGTTTTTAACCTGAGGAAGCCCTGGGAAGAGTCCCCTGACCGGGTGGTCAGGGAGCCCACCTGGATTATTCCCGTTCCCACTCCCAGCGAAGAGCCGCTGGCCAGTTGTTCGTGTTCAGCCAGAATCTTAGTGGCCACATTGTTTTCAGAAGTTCCTAGAAAAAAATAAAATCTGAATCATCCAGAAAGTTTATTTTCCTAGCACATGCCCGCCCTGGTGAAGACCTCCCCAAAGCAGAGCAAACAGCTGTATTGGTGGGTGATCACCTGAGTGGGCTGGTTCTCAGGCAGCACCCCAGGACCCCAGAGGCACCTCCCAGCCCTTCGCTGACTTTTGTCCTCCAGGATAAGCTGTGAGTTCTCATGTAACTCAGTCTAGTCACCACAGCGCTGAGAGTTCCGCATCCCCAAGGCCAGGGATGGTTTTGAGTGGTTTTCCAGCATGCAGACTCCAGGTGTGGGCTCAGGTGTGCAGACGCCACAGAACGGTGGGCAGGGAGTGCCCACATGCCATTCTTGGCATCTGCCATACGTGTCAACAGACGGGAATGTTTCATTTCTATCCAGATCATTGACAGCATTTATTTTCCATCACGGCACAAGATGGGATTTTTAAAAAAATTTTTATTTTATAGTTTACTGTCAAGTTGGTTTCCATATAACACCCAGTGCTCATCCCCACAAGTGCCCTCCTCCATGCCCATCACCCCCTTCCCCTCCCCCACCCCCATCAGCCCTCAGTTTGTTCTCAGTATTCAAGAGTCTCTCATGGTTTGCCTCCCTCCCTCTCCCCAACTATTTTTTCCCCTTCTCCTCCCCCACGGTCCTCTGTTAAGTTCCTCCTGTTCCACTTATAAGTGCAAACATACGGTATCTATCCTTCTCTGCCTGACTTATTTCGCTCAGCATAACATCCTCGAGTTCCATCCACGTTGCTACACATGGCCGGATTTCATTCTTTCTCATTGCCATGTAGTATTCCATCGTATAGATAAACCACATCTTCTTGATACAAGATGGGATTTTTAAAAAATTCTTTTAATGTTTATTTATTTTGGAAAGAGAGAGATAGTGCATGAGTGGGGGAGGGACACACACACACACACACACACACACACACACACACACAGAATCTGAAGCAGGCTGCAGGCTCCGAGCTGTCAGCACTGAGCTGGACGTGGGGCTCAGACTCACCAACTGTGAGATCAGGACCCGAGCCGAAGTTGGATGCTTAACCGACTAAGGCACCCAGGCACCCCGACAAGATGGGATTTTTAGGTCGAAAAGCATGTTCCTAAGTTCTCAACAGTTCTTATTTTTTCCTGAGAGCCAAATTCCACGTTGGCTTCCTTTGCTTGCTGAGAAGATCACCAGCAGTCCCTACTCTGAAGGGGGGGGTCCAGCGGGCTTCATCAGTGCCTCAGAGCCAGAAGCTGATGACCACCCGCCCCCTACTCTCCTGCCTTACCACAGCTGCCTGGAGGCTCTGGGAACAGAGCTGCAGGGAGCACTGGCGTGGTCACTCTGGCCAGAGGGCTCGTTTTCAAGGTCATCCGGCACTGAGTGGCCGCAGATAGTTCCCCCCAGGGAGCCCTGATGCGCTACTTGTTTAGAATCACAGCAGCCTGAGGCTTTATTTTTTCACTGAAACCAGTTCTTTTAAGGAAAACTGAGCTGTGAGAGAGCATATAGTACAATTTAAATTATCACCAAATTTGGGGTGCCTGGGTGGCTCAGTCAGTTGAGCTCCTGACTCTCGATTTCGGTCAAGATGGTCATGATCTCACAGTTCATGAGTTTGAGCCCTGTGCCAGGCTCTGTGCTGACAGCTTGGAGCCTGGAGGCTGGAGCCTGCTCTGGATTCTGTGTCTCCCTCTCTCTCTGCCCCTCCCCTGCTCAGGCTCTGTCTCCCTCCCTCCCTCTCTCTCAAAAATAAACATTAAAATTAAAAAAAAATTAATTCTCGCCAAATTTTTCATTACCATGTAGAAATATTTTTACCCAGTTATTTAACTTTTTGGCTCCAATATGATTTTCAAGACGCATCACATCTGTTCTGTTATTGAGGTGTGATTCACAAGTAGTTATTGACAAATGCATCCAGCTGTGTAATCTGTGCACCGATCATGATAGAAAACATTTCTGTACTCTCTGAAAGGTCCCTCATGTTGTGGGCTGAATGCTGTGTCCCCCAAATGCATATGTCGAGGCTCTAACTCACAGTGTTTCGGTATTGGGAGGTGGGGCCTGTGGGAGGCGGTCAGGGTTAAATGAGAATGAGCCCTGTGGTGGGATTAGTGCCCTTATGAGAAAAGAGAGAAATCTGGTCTCAGGCACAGGGAAGGCTGTGTGACACCAAAAGAAGGCACCATATGCAGGACAGGAAGGGGCCTGAGCCAGACACGGAATTTCCAGAACCTTCTGGCATGTTGGTGTTGTGTCTCCAGTCCCTCACGGCGCACTTATCAGCCCTGTGGTGGCGCTTGGCGGGGGTTCGTGGGCTCGGCTAATGTGTTTCAAGAGGTTATGGACATTGTTGTACGCATTTTCTGTAGGTGTGTTTCCTTTCTCTTGGGAAAATCCCTGGGAGTGACACTGCGGGGGTGGGTCTGATGAGCAGAGCAGGGTTTCCTGGTGGCTTTAATTTGCATTTCCTGGAGCTTAGTGAGCTTAGTGAGCTTGCATTGCCACGCACTTTCCTGACCACTCATACCTCTTTTCTGAAATGTCTCATCAAGCCTTCTGCCCTTTTTAAGAAATTATCAAGTTGTAAAAGTCTATATCTTCTGGTGTTGTGCCCGATTCGTGAGTCCCCTGAGACCCCCAAGGAGCCGACACCGATGCAAGTACAAAAGGGTCTTTATTACAAGCTCAAGCAGGGGCTCACCCACCTACCGGTGTCGTGGCGGCAGGTGAAGCCCCGAACGATAGCGAGCAGGGTTTTTAAGGGGTAAGGGAAGGGGGTGTTACAGTACGTGTAGCATCATCACATAAGCACCAGTTACAATTGTACAGCAGCACCCATGGTAACAGCTTTGACCGTTCAGTATCTGTGAGGTGTTCGTTACTTTTGGTGGGACCCAATCATGACTTTTGAGGATCCTTTGAAAATGACCAATTATGAGGTGAGTTCAAAGGGCCCTCGTGGGGTTCAGGCAAGCGGTGAGAAATTGGCCAGTTTGTACAGAATAACTGTCTACAGTTCCCAGCCCTGACTCAGACCACAGGAATGTTTTTTGATTAGCTAATCTGAGGGCGGTCCGAGGATGGCTTTAGCCTTGAGCAATCTGAGGACGTGGGGCTACGTGCACCCCGAGGGTGCTCTCAATGGAGGCCTTAACCTCAAAATGACGTTACTTAGGCTCTTCACTGGATATGTGGCTTATCAGACATATATTGCAGATATCTCCCATTCTTTGACTTGCTCATTCATTTATTAATGTTACATTTTAAAAATTAACTTAAAAATTTTTGGAGGAGTTTTAGATTTACGGAAAAGTGTTGAAGACGGCCGGTTTCCCCAGACCCGGACACTGAGGTGAGCGCGGTGCCTCTGTCAGAACTAAGAGTGCTGCGTTCCTGTCGCCTACCCCTCAGTCGCAGATGTCACTCGGGTCCCCAGCGTCCCTGTCCGGGTCCCAAGCTGCGCTGAGCGTCACAGCTCCTTTGTCCCCTCTGGGGTGTGCTGTGTCTGGGACTCTCTTGCTTTGTCATGACCTTGACGGTTTGGGGCGGACCGCACAGGTGCCGGGTTTGTCTGTTGTGTTTCCTCGCGGTCAGAGGGAGGTTGTGGCTTCGGGAAAGGACACCCCAGAGGTGGGGTGGCCCTCTTGTCACAGCCTGTCGGGGTCACGTGGGCCCGGTCACCTGGGTCGGGTGGTGCCCGCCGGGTGTCCCTCTGTCTTCCGGGGCGGCTCCGTTGTCACTGCTCCCTGCAGGGTGGGAATGGAGCTGTGCCTCCCGGTGCGTGGGGGGGGGGGGGCGCTGTCGGACTTGGAACCCGGAGGGAGGACGTGTCCCCCACGTGCGCATGTTGATCGGTGGCCCCTTCCGCCAGCGGGGGCTCCTGGGTGTTCGTCGTGCACCCGGGGTGCCGTCCAGCACTGCGGTTGTGCTGCTGCCCTGGCCCCAGCCTTGGCAGGTCGGGGGGGTCCTGCATGGGTCTGTTTGGGGGGCACCGCCTCACTTCCTGGCACTGCCGGCGGCTCCAGGTGCGTGTTGCTGTGCGGCCGCCTCCCCCGGGAGCCCCGATGCCTTTTACTGGAGG